GAAGGAAGGAAGGAAGGAAGGAAGGAAGGAAGGAAGAGAGGGAGGGAGGAAGGGAGGGAGGGAGGGAGGGAAGTAATGAGGGAAAGAGGGAGGAAGTAAGGAGAGAAGGGAGGAAGGAAGGGAGAGAAGAAGGAAGGAAAAGAGGGAAGAAGGGAGGAAGGAAGGAAGGAAGGGAGGGAGGGAGGGAGGTAATGATGGAAAGAGAGTGAGGAAGGAAGGAGAGAAGTGAGGAAGGGAGGGAGAGAAGAAGGAAGGAAAAGAGGGAAGAAGGAAGAAAGGAGGGAGAAAAAAAGAGTTTATTGTTTATTACATGCCAAACATCTGAGGATATAGATACAAAAGTGATGTACTCTCTGCCCTCCAAGAGATTACATTTTACTGGGGAATATGGTGACTAGGAAGGAGAAGTCCTGGAAAGTCAGGGAGATGATGAGTTGATCTGTGGGACAGTCAGTTGACATGCCCTTTCCAGGAGCAACAGCAGTATTGATCTGACTGCTATGCCCAGTGCCAGAGGGGGATGCAGGGGAAAAGGAGGGTCAGCCACTACTGGTCAGCAGGAAATGCAGTAAATCCTCCAGGATGGACAGCTGGGTGAGATGTGAGGGATGACCTGTCTGCTCCAGGGCCTGGGGCCAGCTAAATGCAGGGCAGTGGACTACTTGCCTTTGAATTTAGCCCCTCATCAATCAAGACAGCTCAGCCCCAGATTATGGTTCTAATATCTTTCAAAGTTGCTTTTCTTTACATTATTGTGGTGGTGTGGTTTTTCTCTTGGTTCTATTTTTATCAGTTCATAGAGAGCCTTCCAGGTTTCCCTTAATTCTATTAGTTATTTCCTAATCAATCAGTAAACAAGTATTCACCAAGTGATCATTATATGCCAGGCATTGCACCAGTTTATGAGGATGCAAAGACAAAAGGAAGCAGGTTCTACCCTCAAGGAGCTTCCATTCAATCATGGGAAATAACACAGACACATAGAAGTGAACACAAAGTAAATGTGTAGTCACTGGACCAGGCACTGACATCGGAGAGACGAGCAAAGATTTTCTGGAGGAGGCTGGAAGGAAGCTAGGGATTTCTGGGGCCATCTGTCAGTGAGGAGGGGGCGTTCTGGGTGTAACTCTTAGAGCGTGACATTTCAGCACATTCAGATTGCACCGAGGAATCACCTGATCCTGGCTGAGGGGCACCCACACACCTGGAATGGCCTCCCTCCTTGCCTTGACCCCAGCAGAGTCCCTCTCTTCCCTGGAAACCCACCCCAAGCACCATCTTCTTCATGA